TCTAAATTAGATAATCATAATACTCGTATAGTAATTTTAAAGAATAAGGGTCGACGCTCTCAGAAATTTCCGAGAAAAAATATTTACGAAAATTAMAGGAGTGAGAATTTCTGTTAATTGTAATGGGGCCAAAGATAATTTTGCAAAAATTTGAATACTTAAACGAAGTACAGCATTGTTTAGACTTATGGTCTCTGACTTGTGCGTAAATTTTAATATTAGTTCGTACAGTTCCAGATGTTTGATTCTCTTGAATTGCCAAATGTTTCAGAGAACAACCCATCTATATTTATTGTAAATTAATATAATAATATTAATTTATATTTTATTTTATCAATTAAAATTATGATATGAAAAAACTTTTAAAAGTGTGTGATGCGCCAATTGTTAAAYCTAGTCTACGGACGTTATTTTAATAAGTTAGAACATTTTCGAAAATATTTTTCACATTATTTGAAGTCATTGCAAAAACTATTTTGAAAGTTTTTTTTACTTATTTATGAATGACAACATAAATTTTTAATAAAATAATCCATTGTAGAATATTAATTATTAAAATAATCAGGTATACAAAAATTGAACTGAACGATTTGCAGTTTTTAATGAGTTATTTATAACTTATGAGTATTTACAGTAAAATCAAGTCGAGTAGATCGGCACACGAGAGTACCCGGAAAAATGTTGGTTCACTACAATTCGTTCATTTAAGTTCRAAGCAATCACACAGCTAAGAGTGCACAAGCTTGTTATGACCACGATATCATTGCATGATGCAACTAAAAATATATATACTATCCTAAGTTTAGTGTTAGATAACATGTACAAGTCCAATAACTCTGGATCTGAGATGAGTTTTAAGAAGAAATCTAACAAAATTTGATAAACATTGAACAATGTTATAAGTAGAGTCCTCAGTTGAGAGTAATGCACATACAGATTTTATACCAAAAAATTTTTTTACACCGTATTTGTGTTGGTTTCGAGGAATATGACGAGCTTTGACATGAAACTATATTTAAATTATTTGACGAATGGGATAAGACGTTAAAGGAGTAAGCAGTTATTATTATATTAGTCACTAAAACAATATTTAAGCGATAACAAAACAATATGGCTACTACGCGCTTATCGGATATATTTTGATACGATTATTATATTATGTTTCGACGTCATAGTGTTATACTGATATTCTCTGTTCATAAGTATGCGTGACATAATATCGCGCGTGACGATGAAAAACCAGTGAAACTCATTTCCCAAGCGAAGGTCACGTGGCGATCGAGAGGACAGCAACAATTCGACTGTAGGCACATACCGGGGTGGTCATTTTACTCAGGGTTGACCGTTGGGTTTTCCATTTTCACCGCACTATCAGCGGCGGGCGCATCCATAATCACCCACYCCGGATGCAACCATACGGTCACCCACCCAGGGTACTGAGCCACGTGCCACGCCCGGAACCGTCTTGATTTCAAGTCACGCGGAGGACTTGAATAACAATAGTCGTGAAGGTTTTTGGGGCGATTCCTCCGCTTGAATGTATTTGCAGGGTTTGCGCGAAGGAGAGGAAAGCTGCGCACGAAATTAATTTCAAGTTTCAAAAACAAATAATGGCGCATGGCTTTATTATTATTATTACTATGTGACTAAGTTTTTTTTTTTTWAATGCAAATAAAAAAATAAATAACGTTCAAACAAACCTTGCAGCATCCATTCGATCGGGATGAGTTTTTTTTTCTTATTTTCCAAACAAATGATGGTAAATCCTTTAATCGCTCACTCCGAGCTATGTTTCTTATTCTGTCGAGGTCTGCAGCGTGGAAAACAACAAGTTTTTAACATTTCCTGAACAAATGTCTGACGCGTATGTGTGTGAGAGAGAGAGAGAAAAGAGCGTACGAACGAAATTCCACTATATAAATCTTGGATTATGTTTTTAAATTACGTTACTGGTAACCACCACAACCACCAACTTCGAACTGCCAAGCTAATTTTTATTTCTTAAACCTCGCGGAATTAAAAATACATAGATAGTAGGAAAATGAGAAAAAAAAATTAAAAAAAGACTTATGAAAAAAGAATTTAATTAATTCGGTGGCTCTCAATTCTTAGCTTCAGCCCTTTTGGATTTGTAAACGACCCTCTTTAGTTTGTTGCAAACTTGTATTTTTTAACATTCATTTTTAATAAAATCAATTTGAATGGTTGATAGGATGCTACGAAGGAGTATATATTAATAATTAAAAGGCTTTTGCTGAATAATTGAACTAATTGTAGTTAMAATACATTCGATGTATTAGGAAATACATATATAATATGACTTTATAATAAATTAATTAATAATAGTTAGATTATTTTATTATTCTAAACTAGTAGAACAAAAAATAAAATAAAAATGATTATGATAATAAAATAAAATACAATATAAATAAATAAATAAAATACAAAAAAAAAATCAATAATAATAATAACGCTTAATTTTTACCAACAAAACCCTAAATAACTATTCAAAACACTTTAATCGTATAATGTGATAATAATAATATTATATAGTATGATACAGTTTAATAATATTGTACATGCTCGCTCTTAAAGTAGTATATAAATTAATAAAACAAACAAACAATCAAACAAAATATTCCGTACATAGAACATAAATCTTTGGTTTCGATGATGTAGATAACTTAACACTGCAATTGAAAATGTCGAGCGATTATTTTATCCCAAAGCTTTAAACGTTTAGCTCTGATACTAGTATTATACAGTGTCAAGCGTATACTGTGAAGGCGATTCGTAAGAATAGTTAAAAATTATAATATAATGCAAATAACAAAAAAAAAAAAATAATAATAATAATAATAGTAGTGTAATATTATTATCGTAAAAAAATTTAACGTCAACAAATTAAAAAAAAACCAACAAAAACCATAAGCTAGAGATCATATATTGGTCCGATCTACAGATAATATATATATAATATGTTTCTGTTGTTTCTGAAGAATCGGTGTAAAAAAAAATTAAAAAAACAAAAAATTAAATTGAAAATCACCATCTTCTGGACAATAATAATGTAGTTTATTATCGTCATATTATTACTAATATGTAAAAGAGAACCGCGATGTCTATGACATTACATATGATTATTATTATAATTATAATTAAAGCTGTACACGTAGTAGGTCTAAGATTAATACCATTAAAACGGATTGGGATTCGTTTCAAAACTACGATCATTATTTATTATAGTCATCTGACCGGCTGATGACACAGTACCAGACTTGTTCGGAAGGTATAGAGGAATGTTGTTCACGCACAATCAAATGCAACAAGTCAATATTATAGGTAGGTAGGTAGTGCAAAGTTGCGGTCGATGCATAATATTATTATTATTTGAACTATAGACCACGATCTCAGAAACGGAATATTAGGTGAGTATTATATACAATATGCGAGTCCGTTCAGGAACATTTTTTAGTATAATTATTTAATCCGCTACCTATATTATTATACATGCGCGATCGGTGAAATTCATCACAGCAGTGTTTAATGGCTAGCGATTGTTTTTTTTTTCTTCTTGGCATTATACTTTCATTATTACGTTCAAAAGCTTTTTAAATTAAAATACAAAAATTAATATTATTTAACAGCTAACCATATCAATAAGATTACTTGACATATTATTACATTATACCTACCTATCGATATCTAATGATTAGTTATAAATGTGATTAAGTTTCGACTGCACTCATTGACTCATTGTACACTCGTTGCAGGCAAATCGGCCGAAAACTTTACCGCCCTTTCCGTCATCCCCGATTAATCTCAAATAATTGCACCGCCACGGCCTATAAGAAAGAGCGGGAACCTTTGGTCYTAGAAAGAATGTTTGACCTTTCACCGTCGACGGAAATCGTGCAAATTCTGCGACGGAACTCGTCGATTTCTCGGAGACCTAACTCAGGCTTAATGCGTTTATCGAAAAATAATATCATCACAACATAGTTTGTTAGTTTTGGTTAACGTTATACCACGGTAGCGGTATGGTGCCACCTCAAGTGGATCGCATTTATTGTTATACGCGTCACCGAACGAGGAGGAATATTATTATAATTTATGTTTTACGGGTGGGTTTTTATTGTGGTTAAATTATTATTATTAAATATATTATAACCTATTTTATTATTTTGACGAGTGCGCAATATTTACAGCAGCAATGCGTCGATGAACGGTCACGTTTTGATAGTGAAGAACGCCAAGTATACACACAGATGATATTGAATAATAATTTAGTGCAAGCTTGTGCTCTGGAACGAATGTTTCTCTTCAAAATATACGGAACGGTTTTGAAAACATTGACGCACCTATTATAYTAAAATCTCGGGACTAATCATTATTCGCACTTGCTTGTACGAAATAGTTAAAACTCTATTTTTTGACATTTTTAACGAGCGCATATGTTTTTGACTAGCACAACTATAAAATAAGGGAAAACCGAATGAAATCTTCCGACATCGAAGAGACAGTCGGCAGGGAAGAGCACCACTTAAAATATTCATTCGTTTTATTCAAATTTTTTTTTTAATTTTCTTTTTTTTATGCACGAAAAATATTAATTTAGTTAAAATGTTTTTTTTATCGTCTTCACACGTTGTTTAATACTCAAATAATACATAACAATGTAATAGTAGTAGTTTACACACACGAGCAGCCGTGCGGTGTACCTATAACAAATAATAATTTTATCGTATAAATATTGTAGGTATATGATTTGTTAAATATTATTATTATTCATCCGTGAAAAGATATTTTTTTTTAACAACGATGCGCAGAACAGTATAATATGTAACACTAATCGTGATTGAGGTACGTGGACATGGAGAATTGATCCTTAGGAGACATGGCGTCGTACAGTGACATTTTTAGTCGCTTGCACTTAGCCCGGCGGTTTTTGAACCAGAACTGAACGTTCTTCGACTCTAGCCGCGGGAACTTTTGCCGGTAYGGCATCCGGTTCAGCTCGTCCGTGTACTTGGCGATCAGGCTGTGCGACGGATGCGTGTTGTGCTCGAACCACTGTTCTAGTCGCGGCACCTCGCTCACCGGGTCGATAAACGTCCGGTTCCGTTTCCGGCGTTCCTCGGCCAGCGCCGATAGATTCAGGCCCGCCGCGGTTGCAGCAGACGACACCTGTCAACACACRAAAACAATAGGAATTCATTCGACGTTCGGTTAGGCGAGGGTGTGTGTGTGTGTGGACTATGGAGGTTATACATATTGTATTATTTATTAATTTTTGACTGTACATTGCTAGATATTATATTATATAAATATATTTTTAAAATTAGAACCCATTAMAACTTATGAAATTATGTTTATTGTATGGGATTTTATTTTATAATTTTGATTGGTTCAATAATTGAAATTCTACAGTATATTAACTTACTTATAAACTTATTCATATTAGTCAGCCAAACGGTATTTTTGGTGGAATTAAGATAAACACTTACACAAACGGTTTATAGCTATTCTATCAAACAAACCACATTTTCGGTTAATTCACCCAAACGATCTACGTACTACGCTTTCCTTGTCAATATTTATACAACGGAACCTAACGAACCCACTACTAGTTGACAATAATGTTTTATATGTAGCATTAAATATGATATAAGGTGCTGTTGCAGTTTTTCATACTAAATCAAAAAAATAAATAAAAATAAAGATTTTTATCATTATGCTTTTATTTTTAACTAATCGTAATAAGTTTTGCTCTCAAAAATTCTTTTCCTCCGTAAACACAATAAGTGTTGGTAGATAAAAGATAAAGACAACAAAAAATTTGCTAAAAAAAGATTATTTTTTCAAATATAATGAAAAAATATTGAACTAACTTTTGAGTTATTTACTTTATTTTTAAGTTGACGATTTAATTTTTTGAGAATATTTTCTGAGTATTGACTATTCTTGGGAAAATCGTATATTAAAATAGCTCGTTCGTTAAGCTTTAATATCAGTTAACAATAACAATAAATTATTCTCAAATGTGTTATTTTTAATCTTATTTCAATAACATGATATCCTCAACAGTGAAAGTAATAACTATTTCAATGTTTAAATTTTGATAGTGTTATGATTAGTTTATTACTTACAGCTAATAAGAATATTGCGCTTAATAACGATAATTGTGATTCTGTGATTTGAATTTCAACTGTGTTAGTACCTTTTCGACTATTCTCATTTAATATATTTTAATATGATATTCAGTTTATTGTTTATAATATATATTATTTGTCAAACTAAGTGGATCTCTAACATTATAGTGATCAATATAGTTAAGTAGTTTATTGTTTTTTATCTTGCTACAATTCAAAAAAAAAGACAAATAATTGATTAAATACTGGTATTATGTTCTTACTGGGAAGCATTCGAAAAAATTCGAGTGACAAAAAAAATATTTAATTCCTAATTATTACTCCCTATATATAATAAATATATAAAACCCAAAAACAAAACCACAACATTTGTTATGGATTGTGTTGTTGGTTTTATGTATAACGAATTGATTACACGAGCCATACCTCCATAAAAAAAGAGTTAATTGTATATACCTATAACAATATTAATTTGGTTGTTTGATCATTTTGACTGAAAAATTATAGTATAACTATATTCATCTATGGTCATTGGTCATTGTGAAATTTCAAACTTCAATTGTATCTATATAAATAGATTGGTATTTAAAGTTAAGTACAATATGGTAGAAACATATATTTATACACATTCTTACACATTATAATATTTGTCTTCTGTTAACATGTTTAAGTTAAATGCAAAATAACAATATTGTTAAGAACATATAATTATTTTGCTCTAAATATCAAAAAATGGAAACAAATTGRTATTATTCACCAGTATTCTAGTTCTAACTCTCTATTCTTCTTTAAGTATGCAATGTACAAATACTGCAAACAAGTGATTACATAATAATCCACAAAAAAATAAGACCCGATATCGTTTCAAACATATTTTCAAGTACTGCGTAAGCAGTAGTTACGTGTACATAAATGTATTTAATTTGTATTTGTCATCGAGAGTTGAATAAATCGTGTTATCAGTTTTTGAGATAATCGTTAAATATCCTAAGGTATTTTTTATTTTTTTTGTGACAATAATCCATTTGAATATTTAAAATTTTTTATTTTTTCTCGAATAATATTTTTTTAACAGTGTTGTACTAAAATATACTGCGATTAGGTATTTCTGTTATTATTATTTTACCTTTTTTCAATTGTGAAGTATTACATCAAGTGCTTTGATTGCTTTATTTTATAGTTTATCGGTTATAAAGTACTTAATATTTTAAGTGAAATTAGTATTATTCGATGCGGGTTCTCAGAAGATGGGTTAGCGATTAAAACACTTTTGGCTATCTAAAGATTATCCGTAAATAATTACTTGTCGTTCACTATTTGCAATTTACATAATTTAATTATGTGTTTGCTGATTAAATGCTTAAAAACGTATTGCTTGTACATAGAAAATATTTTATGTGGCATATATACTGGCTGTGTTTTCACAATATGTAAATACTTTTCATTCGAACCATGGTTATCTGCTAGATAAACGTGGTTCTGAGTGTTCTGACTAACTCAATGCATCAAAATACTCGCATTAGTCATTACCTTATTGGTAAAATATATAAATCAGTGTCTAACTTATCTTAACTTGACTCAAAAAATCTATATCAGCTTCGTATGGCTGCGTATCTAACATTAATACAATTTGAAAATATAACTATTAAATATTCGAATTCCTGTTACTCTTCGTCTGAACACTACTGAGGCTTGCAAKGTCCCCGCAATTTTTTGTTCTTGCACCTTAGTAACCTACCTATATATACATCACAATATAAATTCACTACATGGCCATTTATAAAATATAAATAGGTATATATAAACAAAATACAAGAGTGGTTCCCGGCCCGTAATCCAAACGAACACTAAAGCAAAGAGTCTGCAGACTGTACAATAATATTGAAACCAAAATGTTTAATGATTCATATTTTCTTAAAGAACACTGTTACGACTCAAAGTTTATAGTTTTGAGAAAAAAACAATTTGGGAGTTTGAATAAAAATATTTTAWAGAGTTCTTTATACCTATGCGTTTGAAACTAAAAACTTAAATATCCACTTAAAAACATACTTTAAAATATGACATTTCAAAATATTACGAAATACTCTCTTAAACCCAAAAAATAAGACCTTGTGATGTAATTTTTTACACATTTTTAAGTAAATGCATTACTGTCATATTTTGAGGTATAACTAAATTATGTACAAAACTGATCTCAAGGGCCCCGCCACTGTTCCTACATGATTGTTCCCGTCGCAATCGAATTCAACGAACACCGATCAAATTATATTTATGACAATATTAAACTTTTTGGTTTGGTCGAAAAGTGAATTGGCCAATAATCGTCTCAACCCATAATCTATACGAAACGAATTCACACCAATCTACCTAATTAATATTATGTTATTGGGATCGATTTATTATAATTTATTCGACCATTATGCATTTATCGCCTGCTATATTATCATGCGGTAAGTACACGATAACTTACCTGAGACTGTTGCGATTGTGGCGGTGGCGGAGTGCCGGTCTGTGGCCGGCGGCCCATATTGAATCCGGGCAAGCATTGGCTCATGTACATGAAACTGTGGCCGAACATTGAGTTTGGGGCCATCGAGAATCCGGGCCGGACCAGCGGCTGGTGCATATCAGCGGCGCGGTGAAACAGCGGTGGAGGTGGAGGTGGTGGTGTCGTCTGGCGGTGGTGTCCCGTGGAAACTGGGTGATCGTCCACTGGGCTGGTGGTGCAAAAYATTGATGACTGTTGTTGTTGCGATGATAACCGTTTGCAGCTGTTGCCGATCACATCTACTTCATCATCACCACCATCACCGTCACCGTCCGAACCGTCATCGTCTATCATTTCCTCGTCGAAATCGTCCTCATTCTCATAATCGTTATTGTTCAGTCCAGTGGTCACGATTGCCTTATCCTTATCTGGTGGCTCTTCCTTGATCACCATTACCTTTAGAAAATAAATCAAGATAAAGAATTGTTCAAATTAGAATGATACTCGTATAATCATAAAGTTTAAAAGTATGTTCAGTAACTTTGTTCAACTCGGTTTACWACAAATACACCACAATTTTGCTAATGCATAATTTTTTTAAAAAATTCAATTTTTGGTGTATGAGATAAAATGTATGAATTTATACAAAACCTTTACTTGGTATATTTTGGATAATATATTTTAATTGCCAACTACACCAGAGTACTTTTAGTGAACATTAATAAAATATAAGTAGAGCAGGCAAAATTCAACTTCCAAGATAATAAGATGAAGGTATAGGTATAATAAAATATATAACGTTTGGATACGTTAATGTAAGAAATGATGACATAAGCTGTRAMATTTTGAAATACTATACATTGCACGGATATTTTAATCAATKACAGGTGGTTTTGGTGGTCATTTATGTTAAATAATAGATAATAACTACTCTAATTGTCATACAGCTGTACAATAGTCTACGGTTGATAAATATATCGTACAAAAATATTATTGTTATACTCTAGATCAGATTATTATCAGCTGTGTTTTTATGGCTTTATAATACAYCCAAAACATGTTAAAAAATTGAATACCCGTAAAAACACCACATACATTATATTCTTACAATCAAGTTTCACAATAAGTCGATTAGCTCTTATATTTTTAAACTAACGAAACTAATAACGTGATATGCTAAGCATAAATTTTGGCATTTTATTCACTTATAATATTATATAATGTATAATAATGTAAAAATAATAGTATGTTAAATAGTTATGCTATAAAATAATTTTGGGGGTGGAGTGGCCGAGCGGACTAAGGCGTCGGTTGCGACRCAYGCAGTCGCCGGTTYGAATCTCGGTCACGGGTGGCATCGCTCTTTGGGCATTTCGCGATGTCTARAGAGAGAGGCCGCCGGCCCCCAACCGGGCATGGCAGAAACCCACGGGTGCMCATTCAAAATTCTGCCAAAAAAACCCACGAGTTAAAACCTTACAGTACCTTTCCCTACAGTTCCTCAGGCTAATGACCTCAGTTGTCGAAGCCCTAACCATAAAAAAAATAAAATAAATAATTTTCTAACAAAATTTCTTTAAATAATTACTAATAAGCTCATTTACATTGGACATTAATGGAATTTCTTAATCAAAGAAGTATTTTCCCAAATGTCATCTGTGACTATATGAGCTAAAATATAACATAAAAAAAAAATTTTTGTTAAATTAGTATAAAGGCATATTAGATATATAGTTGATTTTAAATATTGATTATATTGATGTTTTATAATATTGTATTTTATAAACATAAAAGAGTATAATATTTTTATTATATAATTTATTTCGTACACTGTTGTGATGTATTTTACTTATTATAATATAAATATTGTGTAGGTAAAGCTGAATAGCAAATAGTTAAGCCAAATACAAAGTTTTTACTCCTCTATCAAACGCGTGGCTCTSTGACACTTTCAAACTAAATTATTTATAGCTATGAATGAATCATCAAYATTTAATACACATTGCAAAGTTMCACGTGTATTATAATAATATGTGCTATTGCCATTCCTTTCGTGTTATTAAAACTACATGACTGGAATTATTTTACGCGTGTGGAGTACATTAATTGACTGTAGGTCACAAATAAATTTTAAACTTTACAACCAGTAATCGTAAGTTTATCGATAATTAACTCGATCACTTTTAACATTTTGGCAAACGAATAAAATATCTAAAAAGTATGTGAAATACTTAGTATAATTGAGATTGGATACTTTTCCAACATGCATAATATTGAAGATATAATTTAGTATTTCTTTTGTTTTTAACTGCATTCATAGGTTTAACTTTTAGAAATCATTGATTTACGAAATTTCCAATCTTCTATGTTAAAATTTCAAGAACATGGTATATCATCGACTGATGACATAAACACCTTCAATATAAACGACATTATTTGTGTTTTTCACGCATTAAAAAAAAGTTATATTATTAATTATTTATACAAACAAGAATTATATAGGTATATTATAACGATACGAGTATTGCATTACACGTATATTTATCTTAAGTGGATAATTATTAAAAATTATATTACCTGTATAAGAACTATAGGTTATATTTTTAGAAAATATTTCGTTAATTATGCCAACAGTTATGTCGATGGCATACTTATGGTAATAAAATAACAATCTGAACTATGAAATATGAGAAACGTCTTTTTTATACTACCTGTATAGTACATAATATTATATTGTACCGAACTAATAGTTTTTATACACACATTTAGACTTACCAAAATATATCCAAACATTTTAATAATAAACATAATATACAGTTTAGGTTCAACTGTATATGTTAACAAAATGCTTTTGATTGCCAGAGTGTAATAATAATTATAATAAAAAACAAAAAAATTACAAATTTAGGTATCGAATAAATACAATCGAGAATGAGCGTGAAAATAAAACACATTTCAAAACACTTTTATTATACTGTATTAATTAAAATAATAGAAAATACGRTCGTCGATAAACTTCTTATAACCAAATGCTTACGAATTCAACAAAATTAACGTGATATTAAATTATTGCTATAATATGTAGCCCATAGTTACTACATTGATATTTTCTGTATTACTTATTATATCCTTGGATAAATTAATTTTAGAACTTCTTCAAAAAATATTTTTTTACTAAAATACAATACATTATAATGTTTATGTCGAATGATTATTTGGGCATATTATTCGATTATCAGAACCTTTCTGATGTTAAGTATGAACATAGGTGTGACTAGAGTTCATCCGCAGTGGCAGCCTAGCTATTAATGACCAGCGCCACCTTAATGAACCGAAAAATGGCCCATCAATTGATTGGTTGGGGAGGGGGAGGAGTAGTCCCACCAATTTAATATTCATATAGTTTTAAAAAAGTTTGTATTATCCATTTACAATTAATATTGATATAGTTTAAAAAAGTCTGTATTATCTATTTACAATTAATAATGTACAGTATTTTCAGYACCTTTAAATTTAATTCTAGGATAATTATTCATTTATACAGACCGGATTAGGTACACAATATAATAAAGTTAGATAATAAACACAATAGATGATGTGTAACTACCTATACTAGTGTTTACTGTTTAGTGACTAGTGGATATAGGTAATAACAAAATCCTTTATTTTATAAATATAAATTATATAAATATCAAATGTGTTAATTGATAAGAAGGGCATTGAACAACTCATAATATATACATTTTATGATTTTATAACATGCATAATGAATATTATATCAAAATTAAATTTTCATCATTAAAAAGTGCCTCAAATCGAGCGCGCAAGATTTGATCACAGACGGACGTGAAAGCGAACTTAAGAAAAGTGTTAAAGAACAAGTCTTCTTTTTGTAGAAAYATTTTTCTTTCTTTACTTTATAGCCCCGAGACATTTGACACTGAATAATAGGACAATTGACACCAAATTTAAAATTTATTATTTATAAATACTAAATAATAAGCATATAATCTTATAATATAATAATATAATAAAAAATGTATTCTAATAAARTAAAAARATAAGATTTTGTAAATATTAATTAATATAAACCAAAGGTAATAAAAATAAGAGATATCATATTTGATGTTTTATTATATACGATACGTTCTTTAAAAACTAATAGTTATTATTATTATAAAATATTTTATACTGGATTTATTGTGACGTATAATTTAGTATAATTTATTATTAATTAACTTAAAATAACCCTCTGAAGTTTGCTTTTCTTTTTACACCCACTGCAATACTAATATCATTTGAACTAAATAATGCTTTCAACTCTAGACTTGACCTAACCTATAACCTTGATCAGATAATATCGGAACAATGAGCGAAACCCGTATTCTAACCGTAAACTTGACGATAATCGGTAACTTCACGCCAGATTGAAGTTAATAATTATCGTCTATACTTCTACATAATCACATAATAACGCTATAGGAAATACTATTGTCATAACATCGTCGTATAGTATCTTACCTTGTGTTCAGGACTCTGTTGTGAGCTGCGTGATTGTGGTCTTGACGACTGCACCAGTGTTTCGCCGTTACTAAATCGTCCGTGCGTGGTCAACGATATCGGCTGTTCCGCCGGTGGGCTCATCAGCGGTTTCGTGTCGTCGTCGTCGTCTCCATCGTCCCGGTTGTCGTCGAACTCTTCGTCGTCKTCGTCTTCGGCCTCGCTCACCGACCCCTGCCCGCTGTACGACTTGCCGCCGTGCTCGCTGGGACTGCTGCTCTTGCAGTAACCGTTCACGTTTGCTTCGTTGGTTCCCGGGTTCATGATGTCTGCAACGCCTGAGACACAATATATAGGCAACGAATATAATATTACTTAAATATTATAATAATTGGGTATAGCTGCAGCATAGACGTTGCCACCACGGTCGGCCGAGTCTATATGTACATAGAAAACGACATAGTTAAATCGCATTATTTCACTCGGATTACGGTCGTTAATAATATTATATATATTATATACTAGGTGCCTAGGTGTTGTAGGTAGCTATTGAAATATATTATTGTAGATTGAGGTATTATACATCACAGTGGCGTAATTGTAGACTCACCACCACTCCCACTCTCCGATAGGTTAAATAGCCCATACTCCTTTTTATACAAGCCGCCACACTAGTTTACACGCTCTCGTATACACATTATGATGAAAAATCAATGATTGATTTTATCCAGAATAGTTTAAAGTCAAACTTCGTATAGGTACACCCATATTACATTATATCGTGTATTGTGGAAAAGTTTACAGAAATGTTGAAAATAACGCAGTTTTTACACAACATTATGAATTCCATGAATATTATCTATACGACTGTACAATATAACTACCTAGGTAATATAACTAATATTATAAATATGTATGTATTCTATCATATCGTTTARGACGACATGTCGTGGATTATAATGAATATTGAGAGAATTTATATATGGAATTAGGTATCAAATCTAGTGTAAAATCCAATAATTGTCTATATATATATATTTTTTTTTATATATATATAGCTAGTAATAGTGTGAAATCGACAGTGGTCACGGCCTTTCGTAGAAAATAAATGGTTAGCCTCTCCATATTAAATTTCTAAAAACGCTGCTACGTAGTAATAATATGTAGTAGGTAAGTATACTGACCTGAATTTGTGCCACGTACTTCAGCCCGTTTTTGAGCTGCCCTGGCATTTTTAAACCAATATACGACGTTGTTGATGTCTAACGGCTTACGACCTTTYCGTGATTCCAGATTGTTCAATTCACTCACGTAATGGTGTATCTTTTGGTRAAAGAACATAAAATATCGACAATCAACATTAATTATGTCAAATCATCATGAGAATAATACTATTTACACATTTTATATAAACTAGTATAAATTATACGCTAGATTTATGTGCGATAGACGTACTTGTTGTCTACTTGGATGAGGATTTTCGGCGAACCAAGATTGCAATTTTGGAAGTTCAAGTTCTGTATCGAAGCTAGTACGCATACGCGTTTTTTGACCTTGGAACTGATTTTGAGAAACAGACTAAAAATTTAAAACATCATACTTGTCAATACGATTCAAATAATAGGTACCTAATTGCTAACATAAAAATGTTTGTGTACTCAAACAACACAAAACTACACGATTTGTCGAGTATGGCCAAATGTACAATACGGATCGCAGATGATATTATATAATAATATTATATTATAATAATTATAATGTAAATCACCTGGAGACTGTGTGTCTTGGGATCTGTTTTAGGAACAATACAATTAGCGGGGTTGTCTTGCATGTTAGACTGCCTTGGTGACGAACCATTACGATAGAACATATCTCTTACTGATTGAGGCAATACCGATGGTTGTATTTTGGGAACGACGTTTGACGACTGCATGATCCACCACTGTTCAAATTTTTTGTACAAATCTTCGGGCAAATCTGGGCAAGCCTGACCCACCTTCATCATCTGCAATATTATCGCTTCGTCCAGGGGACATCCGGACGCTGTCAATTGCGTTTGGCTTTGTACCAACAATAGTTTCAACAATTTGTCCTTCAAATCGGAGAATCGGTTCTTCGTTTCCCTGCAAAAGCAATCGGAATARTAATACAGATGGTTATAATGATTGGYATTCGCATAATATTTTATAATAATGGTATTAAAATATTCCAGTATAGATATTCAGACATACCTGAACACGAGTATTCTYAGAGTAGCTAAGGTAGTGAGTTCTCCTAGGACGTCGTTCACTGTGAGTACCGGGTCTTCGGCAATCGTGTCCAGGTCTAACGGTAACCAATTTTTCAGTACTACCAATCCCTTTGACGCTGCAGCTGTGTCTTTGGAATAGCCCAGGCGTACCAATGCGGCTTCCGTCAAATCTCTGAACGCAGTGTTGTTCGGGATGATGACGAATCTGTCCAATTCTACRTGGCCTTTAGAACGATGCAGTGACGGTGAGTGCTTTTGGCTCCATTGATAAACATGGTTGATCGATTCAACTATACAATGTACCGGTATAGATTTCGCTGAAAAAATAGTTATAATGTTTATTTTTAATATATAAAACACAATGTAAAAAAACAATCATCGGGTAATAACAGTACACGACATAATAATATATATATTACTGCTTAGTGCGCGATACGCGTCTGTTTATATTATTATATTATGTGCGTCAGGCGAAGACGTATTTATAATGTTAATATTAATCCACAGAGTTAAGTTTATAATTCTTCGACTAAGCCTTAAGCCAGTTGAATCTAAAATTCATTCTAATCTGAAAACGGGTTTCAGACACGGTTCTTAGGCCAGAGTTTTAAGGACGGATTAAAGTTTCATTCGAAACGCTTTGGAAACTATTGGTCTGCTTATTGTATTCTATCACTCGAGTTGCAATCTCGGAACATCATTGATTTTCGTAAAATTAATTTTCGATCAATGAAAACAGTAAAATTATTTTACTGAGTATTATTAATACAGTTAATTGGCAATATAAACCGTGTATTAGATGTTTTTTTTTTCAATATAAATGTCAAATATTAAGTAACTCTAACTGGTTAATATTTTTTCAGATAGATTTATTATATCAAATTAATTATTTTTAATAAATCGAGGTCAGCAGAAAACAGTTTATATGTTTATACAATTTTTTTCACAGATATTTTTTGACTTTATTATTGAAGTAACTGGTTTGTTGAACATTTTTTATTGCAAGTTGGCCCATTATTACTGCGTAGATACAGTCGATATTTTGTGTTTGTTTTTTCTAGTATTTTTTCAATTAGCAATAGATATTATAATAAAATATATAGTTTTCAAAATTGAATATTTATTTAAATTTAACGGGCACACAGGTGGTACTAAAATAAAAAAAAAGTTTAAAAAGTATATCATTACATAATAAGATGGGGTAATCAATTCTGTAACTATAATTATTGATTTTGATTGAATACATGTTTAATTTTGATTTAAATAAAAAATAATAATGATATAATTTAACATCATTTACGATACGGTACCTATATTAGTATATATTCAATATAATATTATGGCGTTGCACTTGAACTTATGGTTTAGATATTACACTATTGTTAAGAGTAAGTCGAGTAGAAAATCTAATGGTCACCCGATTATATAAGGGTTCAAGTATGCACGATAAATATTTATAATACCATAATAGTAAATACATATATTTATGCATCGGCTAATATATTATCATTTTCGATGATGCCGTGCAGAATGCACCAATTGCGGTGTACACACAATCACCGAGTTGAAGATTAAAAAAATATATTACAACAATAAATATAAAGCAGATACCATCCGGCGTTTCCTAGAGAGATAGTGTTTCGTCTCGACACATCCGGCGTCTATAATGCACCTACGTCTGCGGAGTGCCTTCTCCGGATTTTCCGCTAAAACGGAGATGACACTTTGGAAAAACTTTTCAAAACCACAAAAGTTGACAGCCCGATAAACAATGCGGTGCAGGTGGTGGGTCTCTGTAGCAGTATTATATGATACACCTATCGTACGTGTCTATCTGACTGGTTGGTGCGGTGTTTATAATAATAATAATAATAATATGGTATTGTACATTACACGGAGGTGTAAAGCGTTTTCCATTATTAGCCGACGCGATTTGCTCTCACCACCGATGACGGCGTCGACGACGACGACAATAATATAATAATAATAAGCTCTWATCAGAAGAAACTGCAGAGCTTGTACTGTACACAAATAACCGGATTGGCGGCTACGCACGGGCAGCATCTCTCCCTTCACCCTTTTGTGGTGGTGCAAACGGAAATGAAAAACAGAACCGACCGGGCTCGACGATGCGGGAGCCACGGAGTGGTACGCGGTTGTCGAGAAGAGAAAGAGAGAGAGAGAGAGAGAGAGAACGCAGAAAAAAATAATAATAATAACGCTATCCAAATGAAAGTGTGTGAGGGTGCGAGGGAAGCGGAAAAAACCTCGTTATCTGTTTTTAAGAAGAAATTTTTACCAGATTTAATAATATAACACTGTCGCGTGGCTTTGCCGTGTGAAAAACGTTATCTCACGAACGCGAAATATTGATTTGTTGAACGAAACGAATGCAGTGGTTCTTTATGGGTGGTAAAAAAAAAAAAAAAAAAACAATAATAAACGAGGTATACTGTACACCGTGTGTTTAGTTTTCGCCCGTTATATATTATTATATTTTGTTAAATGCCACGAAGATTTGATACCGGAAACGCGCGAATCCGGCGCGTTATGTAGAATAGGTATACAAATGTCGTCAGGGGTTGTTGTTGTTGTTGTAGTTGGTTTATTTTTCGGAGGGGATGCCATTCGGTTACATCAGGTTGTTTGAAAAAAAAAAAATACAATCAGCTCTTATTGTTGTTAAAATATTATATATATTATTTTTTTCGTAACATCGATCGATATACTCTTTAAGTTGGTTAATATATTATTATTTTCATTTCGCGAGTATGTGTATCTCAAACAATTCGTTATCTTGAATTAAATTGAAATCCCCATTGAACTAATGTGATACAATATGACTAGGTATCAGACAATTTTTTCTATTCCTCGTGACGCATAACGAGAGTACTGTAATTCTATGTTATTATCGTTTTCAAAAAAAAAAAAAATTATTTTAAATACTGAAAATTTCACTGCGTTTATGATGAGTGAAATATAAACATATTATTATTATTTATTTACATATGATTTTTTTTTTTTTAGGTTAGATTATTTTTTGATTTCAAACAGTGTTGTAGATGAAAATAAGTTTTTAGACACGCAATTTTGACCATTAATGCATATAAGTAATGTTTAAAATAATTTATAAAATTTTTCTAATAGGTGAATAGGTCGTAGAAAAGATTTATTAATACACGCGATGGAACACCAAGATATTTTACTGTATTTTTCTGCAATTCTAAATTAGAATATTTTTATTATTAATATAGTTTTTTTTTATATATATAATATTTTTATTTCACATATTTAGTTTATTTGTATGATATTTCCTATTTATATAATTACACCGTATAAAACTTTCCGTATTACTACAATATCACTYGACACTTACAAGTGCTGCACATGCAGAACTATTACCTCTTACTTGCCCAATTTTTTTTTAAATTTATACTTAGAAACAATCAACAATGTACACTATCGTTAATAAAGAATCGTGTAATAATGCGATACTTTTAATATAATTAATTAATTRGTAATATAATAAGTATTTACTATTAATACATGATAAGATTTAAAATAAAAACTACTTTTCATTTATGATTGTCTAAAACTGCTTAACATTGGTATTTATATTATAAAAACGAAGCAAGTAAAATACTAAAATGTATGTTTTGTATTTCTAAACATCTATATTCTATATGATGAACAAATACTATCTTAAAATTTATATTCATAGTGACATTTAAAATAATAATTTGTTTTTATTCGTTACTATGTGCATTCAATTTAATGCAGATAATCTATATAAACATTACAGAATATTTGAAAAAATAAATTAAATCCTATGCAGACGAAATTATATAATAAATATTTTTTTATACCAAGTTAAATTATGCAACAATTTTATTCCCGGCATTATTAATTGGGTATATATTTCTATTAAAATAAATTTAAATTAAATTAAACTTTAACACTAATATAATTAGTTAGATTTAAAGAATACTGAAATCTTAAAAAAAATTGGATTAGGTGATAATATTTTTAAAACATATGCATAATGGAAATAATAAATCGAGTAAAACTAACAAATTAAATGAGCCGACTTTCGAGAAAAATATTTAAAACAGTGCTAAATGTCGTTTTAACATAATATTTACTTACTAATGTAGACATTCCAAAAAAATTAATTAAAGATTTAATCTTGCACAAGTAATATATAATACGATATACCTATTATATCAATGTTCTAAATCTTCTTATTCAAATTAAGACAAATCGGATAAAAACGTACTTTTTGTATTGGATGTTTCACAATAATGGACATTTGATCACAGATAAGTATATAATATATATATATATATATATATATATATATATGCGATCAATGTTATTAAAAATAATTGTTATCAATAGTCTTATAGAATACCATAAAGTTGGGTAAGCTTAAATCAGAACTGATGTAATTCAAGATTGTATTGAATGAGATTGGACAGACACAATTWTATGTGTACTGTGTAGGTAGTAGGTATATAAAATACTATCGACGTAATAATGTTATAGGATAAAATAATCTCAACGTGATCATTACTCGTTTTGATAGATCGTCGTAAAAMCCTTTCTAGAGATAACAAGTTGGAATAGGTATCTATATTTATTTTGTTTTTAAACGTATTTAAAAACGACAATATTATATATCACTATGATGACTTGTATTTACTGAAAAAAAAAATAATACGCATTCGCATTGTACCCATACTGTTAATCCGCGTAGGTTGTAGGTATAATACATACGATGATGTACATATATATATATATATATATATATTTAATACACGCTATATATACTTTGTTCGAGATTGATTTTAAAGCACTGTGCATAAGCCGATCATCGGCGTTAAATCGTATTTATGGTTTCCTGAATTCAGAAAACATAGACAATGTTGTATATATTTATTCAGGAAAACCGGCAGGAAGACACGTGAAAATCGCGGCAGAAGAGAGAAAGGAAATAGTAAGATGGTAGGACTGGTGTCGGGCGACGGTGAAGGGAAAAGCGTGGAGAGGTTAGTGGCATCTTGAAATTATGCAATGAGATGGGTTCTTATTAAAACGTATACAACGCGGTGGGATGGAGCGGAGAGGGACCGGTTAAAGCGGCTACAAAGAGCTTAACTGGGGCCCGTTTACAGGAGTATAAGGTAAGAGAGGGTGAAGGATATATCGAGAGAATGAGAAGGAGATAGGGAGAAGGGAGAGAGAAAGAGAATGTGAAAGAGAGAGCGAGGTCGCTAAGTACTCTGATCCTACCGATTCCGCTGATCCCGAACACACA